TACAGTAGAGCCTCGATTATCCGCCCTAATTGGGGACTGGGGTTGGTCGGATAATTGAAAAGTCGGATAACCGAAAAGTATGAAAAAATCCATTATTAGTGTAGTATATTATTATATCCCATGTAATTAGTATATTAGTATATCGCTATTAACGTACTTTTCATCGATGTTAAGCCTAACAAAAATTTTTTAAAATAATAATCGTCGCTATTGTATCGTTAAAAATTAGAAAATTAAGCCTCGTTTAAATACTGGCTCCCTTTCATGGTCGATCCGTGTTGCCAGCTAAAACACGTAAAAATAATATTAAAGTAGCCAAGACATAGCCAAATATTGTAGCGCCACATCATTAGCGGACATTTGAAATTTGCCGAGTAGGGCGGTCGGTTAACCGAGGTGTCGGTTAATCGGAGGTCGGATAATCGAGGATCTACTGTATACTTCTTAACAAATTTATCTAAACAAATTTTAAATTCGGCTGTCTCATTTTTATTTATTGGTAAACTTGATAATTTTTCCCAATCAACCGATATGTGTTTCTATTGTTTAAAAAAATCCATATTAAGATTCATATTTTTTATTTGTTTTATACATATAAAATTCATCACACATTTTAATAGCAGTTACAATATTAGAGGTTACAACATTGATTTACAAAAATACAAACATTTCGATAGTCTTTTATAATCTGTTTAGTACAATTTCTGAAAAAAATATTTACATATTACAATTAACACAATGACATTTTATAAAATTTTTAACATAAGGTATTGTTATCTTATTACTTACTACTAAAAGAAATTGCAATCATATCTTTTATTTTCTAGTAATTTTAACGATGCTTATTTTTTCCTTTCCTGTTTTAGGCAAAGATATGTTATATTTGCAAATACAATGTACTAATTTCATGTTGTTATAATGACATATATTAACATTACTTTTTAGGTAATGCTGTAAATTTAAACCAAACCACTATAAAAATATCTGCATTGCCGGTAATATTTTTATTGTATTTTAAATATTGACCATAATCTAAAGGAATTATTAATTGTTTTGTATACAATGCTTATATACAGGTTCCTATGTATGTTATAGTAAATGAAGAAAACGATAAAGTTATTGGTGGTGTCGATTTTAATTTTTTTAAGTTGGTGCTTAAAAAATTAAAAGTCAAGTAGGTGAAAAATTTTTCAGCTACTTGTATACCTGCTGTTTTATACATTTTTTTGTTTTCTTATATTAGTTATGAAGTTGTTTTACCTTTTGAAACAATGCTTGGAGAAAAACTACAAAATGGATCGTGGAATGGATTAAATGGAAGACTACAGAGAAAAGTAAAGCCTTTTAATATTAATGTTTATAATTTAGCTTGGGTTAAAACTAAACATATGTTTACTTGAAGGAAATTGATTTTGGACTACTTTCCACTTTCGTAAATTATGAAAGTTTTCAAGTTGTGGATTATACAGTTCCTTTTGATTCAGATGAAGTTACCTTTGTTGTTTCTGCTCCTAAACAAGTTTCCAAATTAACAACCATAATTAGACCATTTGCAAAAGAGGTAAAGTGAAAATAATTAGATTATACTAATAATATTTTTGTTATTGCTCTAATTTGTAAGTAAAGAAAGTAGAGCCGTTTTGTATTCTGTATCTTAATAAAGTGTAATATCGTTATTAACCTTAAATTTAACTTATAATCAAATTTGTTGTAATTATCTTAACAATAACAATCATAAGTAACAAACGTTACTTTAACATTACATGCGATAAAAATATAAGAAAAAATAATGAATAAGTCATAAATGTGAAAACAGTTCATTTGGTAAACTTGTGATTTAATTTGAACGAAAAATTATATACTGATTTTTTTATTAACGTACCAGAATTTTTTAAGTAATGTCAATCAAGTAGTTTGCGTTGAGTCGATTCGCCTACCCGACACATACCAACCATGAGCCGTTACTACGTTAAACTGGCTCTTATTAGTATTAAGAAAGTTAATATAATACAATTCAGAAAAGTCCAATTAGTCAACATGTTTGTGGAACACGAACCCGTGACCAAATGTGAGAGTGTAGTAGCCTATCTATTATGACCGTAGTATAGTTCAAATAGTGCTTTCCGATTTTCGGTCTGTGATAAAAACACCTTATGACTCCTCGAACTCAGACGAAGTCTTTTAATGCTTGTCACTAAACGATAGACCCTTTTAATAGCCGTTATGCAATGATAGTATTTTTTCATATCGTTTAGCGAGTTAAGAGAAAGGCTTTAAATTCTAAGTAGAAATGTTGAAAAAGTACATTTAACGCAACAACGTATTTTCATTACTAAAAAGCTCACAAATGTAAGACTATATAAAAAGTGCCGAGCATCTTTAACAGTTGTACAGCTAATCTTAATTGTATAAAGACTCATTTGTGGTGGTTTAGTTAATAACAACTTGATGATTTAAATACTCCGTTCTTCTGTACACATCTAACAGCTAAATAACTAATTGTTTCGCATAAATTTGATCACCGCTAACACTCTATTAATATCGGCAACGTGTTTTTTATATTATCTATCGAATAAATTTAATCTACTCTACATGCATAATTTCATATGGCATATATCTATATGACAACCAATTACCTTAAGATTAATTATTTATAAGTAAAAATAAAATATAATATTTAATGGCAATAATTTTGATAATTATACGTATAAGTTAAACATTAACAAGTAAACAAATATATTTTTATGATCACAGGTTTGGTTAATGATATCAGTTACATCTATAGTTTTTGGTGTTATAATTCATCTAATAATACTGAAAAGAAATAATATTGTTCAAGATAATCAGAAAGTGTGGTCCATAAAAGAAGCTTTTTTGTTTCTATTTCAAACCTTGATATTACAAGGTAAGCATTTATATAAATAATTAAACTAAGCAATAAAATTTAAACAAATTTTGGTAAAATAAGTTAAGTATTATAACATGCAATTATTTACTGTAAAATCAACACAATGCCGTGCAACGATTTTTAATCATATTATATAAATCGATTTAATTTAAATTATATTGTTTCCACTACAAATTTGTAGCGGATTTTCTCTGTACATCATACTTTCCCTGTAAGAACAAAGTCATGCGGGCACATACATAACACCTTTCAGTGGAATATATTTGAATTCAAACATGTATTGTAAAACGGAGCCTACTGTGCCAAAGGTTTCCAACTTTTGTATTCGCTTTTATCTTGCTAACTTTGTCCTCAAGAATCACGTAAGACTGCAGCCCAATAAACAGAGTACTACTACTGATTTATTTCAATCTTTTTAACTTACTTTATTTGTTAGTTATCCTAATTTGTAATATCTGTTTTTGAGATAATACGATTGCATGATTAAAAAGATTTAATAAAACGATTGACGTAAATTTATGTTACTCTTACTCTACTTTACAATTGTACATTTCTACAATTATTAAATTTTAAAAAATTAAGTACTGGATATATTTTAGTTAAAATATATTTCGTATCGATTTCTAGGTAAAGTCATAGATGTTTTCTACCAATTGTAGAACTGTCATGTATAAAAATCTATTACATTTAATTTCATCACTTGTCATATGTTTAAAATATTTTTTGTATATATAGGCCTAATTCATCTCTCATATATGTGATTTATCAGGTGGTTCGATAAGCCATATTCGAGATACTACCACCAGAATTATTATTGGAATTTGGCTATTGGCATCAGTCGTGATTACTTCAGGTTATTGCGGTGTACTGTTTTCTTATTTAACTCTCCCTCTCTATGAAAAAGTACCAAATACGATTGCAGAATTGATAAATGCCGTAATGGAAAAAAAGTATTCTTGGGGAAGCATATGTTTTTCACCAGAAGAAAGCTATTTAATGGTAACATTAATACTGATATCACTCAGTTTGCTAACAATTTTTACTTTTCAAAATGGTCACCAATTTTTAACTAATTTATTTATAATCATGACGTATATTTATAAATTTACGTAATGACGTTTTTATATGTACTGCGAAGCAATTTAGAAATGTATTTCTGTTTTCATCTGTATTTTCAGAACGTTGAAAATGGTCCATTTAAAATTTTAGGCGATCACATAAAAAATCATCCAGAAAATTGTTTTCTTACTTTTGAAGAAGGAATAGAACATACTTTGAACAACAAATATGCATTTTTTGGGCCAAAGAGTTTAATAGATCCAGTTACGAAAGACAGAGGAGAGAATTTGTTTGTAACATCAGAAGACTCGCTTTTTAATTTTAATATTGCATTTTCTTTCAAAAAGAATTTCGGTATAAAAACAGAATTTGATAAAATGTAAGTTGTTTTTTTTTCTGAGTGCTTTTAACTGATAACTACTTTAAGTGTTTTTATACAATTTTATACTGTTTTAATATGAAGGTAAATACACACAAGACTTTTTATTTTAAATTATACAGTATGTTCCATAAATCTGGAAATATGATATTTACGTTGAAATTTGTTTATCCTGGTAACGCACAGAGCTTAGAAACAAATGAACAATTAAATCTATTTGTATAGTAAAGCGCCGCAGTCAGCTTAAAGTGATCAACAAATTTTGATAGGCTGCATCCAAACTTCTTATGCAACCTGATAAAGTATTCAAAACCTTTTCAGTTTTGTAGATATCTGCCATCGAAATAACTGGATTTCCTGTTTTTTATTCGCTGTACACCATCTTTACCTGTAACAAAAATAAAATTCAACACATCTCCAATTATTCCAGACTTGTGGCACCAAGGGAATGTATGTATGAAGTTCTTCAAACGTATAAAATTGTTAATCGTTTCATTTAAAATTAAAGTATGATAAAGAAGTAAAGTTTAAAATTGCTTCCAGTAAATTTCGAATCGTTAATATTTATTTCCAGTTCTGTGGTTCGAGTTAAAAAAACACCCTACGACTCATTAAACTCAGTTTAAGTCCGTTTATTTGAGATCTATTTAAAATATATACAGTCGACCCCCTATAACACTGTTGATAATTCTGTTTTATATGAATTCCATGTTGTACGAGTAATTTAAATTTTAAAAATACGTGTCGCAGGCTGTGAACGGCTCACGTATTTGTAAAATCTAAGTGATTCGTACAACATGGAATTCATATAAAACGGAGTTATCAACAGTGTTATAGGGGGTCGACTGTATACAGAAATATTAGGCCACACTTAGGCCAGGATTGTTTCCCTATTCAAACGGTTACGTTGCATATATCTAATTTTTAGATCCATTAGCAGACAAATCCGGAGCTTAATGAGCAACTTTACATCGTGTCTGCCTCAGTTGACATACTGAGTTTGTCCAGGGTGGCTCAATAACCGACTTTTATCAGAAAACGTGGTGAGAAGTGTAAACTTAAATTATCTCGTCCCACCTTACTCAATAGGCTTTCTTGTAACTTGCTCTTCTGCTATAGTTCTATATCTGCTTTCAATATGAGAATTATTACACCTTTTAAAAATGTTTTCAATTGAACACGAAGAGGTAGTTTAATAAATATGCATTTTGGACAATTCTGTCCTTTTGCAGTTTTAAAGGAAAGGGTTACAAGTTCTTTCACAATTACATTAATTCAGTGAAGATTTACAGCAAATATACATTATTTTGTTTTTTTTTTAATTTTATTACATTTACTTTTATTGATTTCCTAAACAGACCTTATCTACAGACATCTGAATTATTCTGAAAGAAAAAGTTCAAAGATGAGAAGTTTGATAACATTAAACAAATTATATCTATTTTATTTAGATTCATTCCTTACTCGATCGAATTCTTTATCATTTTATGTGTTTAAAATATATGTTTATATATTAAATATCTATCTTAAATACATCAAATATTCATCGTTGATATTCGATTTTTCGAGTCTTATGTTTATATAATAAATACTTAGAGAATAAATGTAATTAGACGAAATTTAAAATGAAGAACTGCATATTTATCATATATATTTTACGAAAATAAATGTTCGTTTTAGTTTTTTCGAAAGCAAATAAAAGATACATTATAAGTGAATAATTATATTTATTTAATTTTAGAATTGGAAATTTAAGAGATTCTGGAATTTACAAGAAATTAACCAATGACCTGATGCCCCCAACAAAAAATGTTGAAGAATCGTCTTATAATCCTTTATCATTAGAAGACATGATGAGTACTTTTATTCTTCTGTTAATTGGTTATGCAATTTCCATTCTTTGTTTTATCTGCGAGTATTTAAAAATCTGTAATTATAAACACAACTGAAAATATAAGAGATTTTACTGTAATATTCTTGAACATGACTGGCATTCTGGTGACTGTGTTAATTAACAAAAATTAAAATAACAATCATAAATTAATTAAAAAAAGTTTATTAACCAATAAACACTGAAAGCATAAAAACTGAATACATTTGGCTTGGTCATTACTTTTTTGTGAATAATGGCACATATATATACTCTCATATTCATATCATATTTGTCTCATTATCAGTTCTTTCACCCGAAATGCTATCAATATCGAAATAAGCTTTATGAACTTACAAAAAATAATTCAATCTATAAACTGCTACAAAATTTATATGTAATTAATTAGTTTTATAGCTATTTTGGCAACAGGTAGTTCCAAAAATGAAAAGAGTGCTTCGTTTCCTTACTTTGTCGCATTCTTGATAACAACACATTATCATTTGTAGTAAGAAAAATATTTCCGTATATACTTGTCAGATAATAGAATTTATGTACTTATTACTTTTTTGTAGAATTTATATTTATGTAAATGAAATTATTTGAATAAATCCTAATATACTCATATGTATTTATTAAATATTATCACTATTACATATTACATCGAGTGCGTAGAGTGTTTTAACTGCAGCATAATGATTTTTGATCGTTTAATATATGTGAAAAATGGGACTTTGTGAACTCGCATTTGTGACAACAATTGTGAGATTGGGTGTTTTGTTTACGATGGTTAAATTATAGTACACAAGTAAGATCAGCAAACTCTGAATAGTGTGAGATCTAGCCTGGGGTACAGGGTAGTTTATTACTCCTGTATCACTAAATAGGCAATCTATTCCGTGAGAATAGTTCTCAAAGTTTCGGATCGTGAGAGCCGATCTTAAATCTTTTTCTAGGAGGGCTGTTAATTATGTTTCAAAACGATCTGGACTGTGAAGTCTAGATTTATGATAGGGACCTGACACCAGTTAATCAGTTATTTTACACGCGGATTAACACGCGTGTGGATACGATATGAATTTGATTCAGAGATTTAATGAGAGATATTTCTTTAACAAATAATAAGAAAAAATTTAATAAACTAAAATAAAAGCATACAAAAATGGAAATAGTTAAAGACAATCCAATTAGATAATGAATAAATCAAAATATACGCGCCAAGAGAGAGAGCTCACAAATTCATTATAAACATACAACCTCTGTAGTTGACTTTATCTTCTTTTTAATTGGTCGATTTTACTTCATTTCTTCAGTTCTCGGAGTTCTGTTCAGGGAGAGGTCTTGATAGGCACAATATAAAAGATCTCTTCCGTGTTTCTAATTTAACTTATCTTTAACATGGAGAAATTATGTCTATGAACGTTGGCTTTAGCATACGACACTATTCCTGACTAAGGGCGTTGGTCGTAGGAGTTTGAATGGACTACGTCGTCCCTTCGTGGGATCTTCTGGCTAACTGCTAACTAAGGGCGTTGGCCTTAGTGAGCCTATATAGAATACGTCTGGCTTCGATGAGGTCCTACGGCGTACTACTCGAATCAAGCACATCTTTGCCTATATCCTCTGATTTAGGGCCAATCAGCTTATTTGTCTTCACTCACGTGAACGGATGAAAAGGGAAATTAATGAGTAGTCGGCAATTTCCACTGTGGTGAGATTTGTAAGAGATAAGTGGAAAACAAAAAATTTTTCAGTTTCCGTTAATGGAAATGGCTCTTTTATCAGTTTTCCCACGTTAGAGAACTGCTAATTTCACGCTAAAATATAAGAATATTTTTCTACAATAATTTTATTTTATTTTTAAATTGTTACGTAGACACAGGGGCTATTCGGATCTCACAATAGAAAAATATTAGTTATCCTTATTATATTAAGTAAATTTAATTTGGATATAAATACAAATTTATTATTGTACCGAAATCACTATTTTTGAATTCGAAATTATTAACAAACTTTTACAAGAAAAACAAAAGTGTCTTTATTATTAATGTTAAAATTGCTTAAATGGTTTTGAAGTTTATAATTAAAATTTAAATTTAAAACCTTTTATTCTTGTGGTTCTTCATAATTTTACTGGCTACGATTCACATCTAATTTTAAAAGATATTTTCAAAAAAGTACATATCTTCCCCTATAATTATACCCATCAATATATAAAAATATACTACACTAGCTGTTTCTCGCGACTTTGTCCACGGAGGTTTTGCAAGCAAACCCCATTTGTATTCAGTATTTCAACAATCATAGTAATTGTTATATAACACCTTCCGCTGAGAATGATGAGAATTGCTCAAAATCAAACGAAATATTTTTAATTTCATCAATTTTCTGAAACATTTACAATCCTTCTATAATCGAACCAATGTGCAATAACAAATTCGAATTTGAAACGGTTCGAACATTTGGTTAAAAAGTCGAAATATATAAAAACATTTATAAAAATGTTTGAAATGTTATCAATTTAATACACCTAAGTACTTAATGAAGACTAAACGTAGTTGAAAACAAAAATATCGTATCTAAAATAGTACAGTAGAAGCCGTTCTTCCGCCTTAATGCTCTTCAAGCCTTTCAAGCCTTAATGCTCTCCCTCTCCCTCCGCTGAAAAATTTCGAAAAATCCCTTCTTGGGGTGCGTTTCCATGACGTACCCTAACTGTGTACCAAATTTCACCTGTTTAGGTTCAGAGGTTAGCTCTGGGCGATGATAAATCAGTGACTAAGTCAGTCAGAACGAGTAATTTTATATATTTAGATATATTCTAGACTGTTTTAGATTTTAAGATAGTTATCACTTTATAATTTCATCCTTATTTAGTGTATCTGATAATTTAGTAAATTCAGACACTACAACTTTCTATTTTTAATCAGCTATTTTTATTATTTAAAAAAAAGTATCTGTTGAATAAAAGGTGTTTTTCCATATAATTGGTTTAATGATATTTCAAAATTACATAATAATTCTTAACCCGATAAAAAATATTTTTATAATGATTTAACTAGAAGTCATATAATTTCGGAAAATTACGATTTAGCTTATCTTGTATGGAAAGCTTTTAATTGTAGAAAAGTTTCATATTATTTGCAATTATATCAATACAACGATACAATTTTACTTGCAGATATTTTTACCAATTTTTTCGTAAGTTATCATTAAAGTATTATCATCTCGTTCCGATTCATTTTTTAACTTGTCTAAATCTTACATTTATTTCCGAATTATAAATGGCTAAAATAGTACTAGAGCTATTTAACGATTTAGATGTTTATTTATTAATTGAATGTAATATTCGAGGTGAATTATCTTTAGTCGGCAAACAATATTCTCAAAAAAAACCATCTTTACATATCTCATACTGACGATAATTCGTAACCCCATAGTTACATAGTGACGATTGATAGCAATAATGTATATGGATTGAATATGGTTCAATACTCCATATTCTAAGTTTCGATGGTTACGACAATCCGAAATTGACGAATTTAATAATAAAAATGTTTCTTCAGAATCTGAAATAGTGTACATACTTGAATTAGATTTAGAGTATCCGGTATCCTTACATTATCGACATCACAACTTTTCCCTTGCAGTAAATTACGAATAAATAGTATACGAAGATTTATCTGAATATCAGAAATCACTGTTGTCTTCTTTAAATCTAAATTTTAACAATAATATTAAAAAATTAGTTCTAACTTTAAAAGATACATTATGTTATATTATACACTAAAGAAACTTAAAATATTATCTAAAGGAAGGATTAATTTAAAAAATAATCTATAGTATACTTTCTTTTAAACAAGCACCTTACTTGAAACGTTATATATTTGTAAATAATGAAAAATGAAAATTTTGCAAAAGTCAATTTGACAAAAACTTTTTTAAATTGATGAACAATAGCTTCTATGGGAAATGTATGCAAAATGTATGTAAAAATTAATTTAAAAGTTCGATTGAATAAAGGTCAATGTAAAAAAATATATAAACGATCCTCCACTTGAGGATTTCCAAATAATCAACGAAAAGTGTAGTGTTTTAGATTAAAGAGAACAAATTTATTACTTGATAAACCATTATACATTAGTTTTTGAACCATTGTACATATGTTTTCGCGTTTTAGAGTTGAATAAGTTACATAGGTATCAAATATATTATGAAGTGTTTAAAAATTATTATAAAGATAACATTATACTTTTGTATAGAGACACCAATTCTTTAATTTTAGAAATTTACACAGACGATATTTACAATGATTTTAAAAATAATTTACTAAATATATTTGACGGAAATTCAAATATATTTGATTTCAGTAATTATCCTGTAGTGCATCCATTATACAGCAAAGAAAATAAAAACGAATGAGGTTTTTTTAATTAAAGACAAAGCAAAATCGTTATCAATCTCATAATTTGTAAATTTAAAAGCTAAAATGTATTCGATTTCTGGGGAATGTTATGACAAAAAAATCGCAAAAGGCATTAATTAATCAGTGGTTAAAACAACTGTTTTTCACGAACTTTATAAATCTACTCTATTTAAACAACATGAATTTCGTTATAATCAAACTTAGATAATAAATGAAATTCATGTAAAAAGAACCCAATTTCAAAATAAAATTTTTCTTTCATTCTTTTATGATAAGAAATATATTTTTAATAGTGAAATAGATACTCTATTTTATGGTCATTATTCCATTTTTTCATAGACATTTTTTTTCAATAAATTTTATTCATGTTTAATACTTTTCACATATTATCCACAATTATTAAACGAAATGTAATTGTTTTTTAACATTATTATTGTAATCCTTATTCTTTGTTTCAATAAAAAAAAACAGAGTTTCGTTGTTGTCATTTATTTAATCATTATCGCGACACAAGAACTAAAAACTTCACTTGCCGTTGGGACCCGAGTTAACTCAGGCATATTACATAGCATTACATAATGAACGTCTTTGGACCCTCGGAGAATTTTTTTTTGATTTTGGGTGTTTTTTAAGTCTCCAAATTTTTTTCAAAAATTTTTCCCTGCCTGAAAAAATTTTATGCGATTTT